TCGCGCGTGTATCGCACGCTCAGCGTCTCGAATTCATTTTCAAGAGCGATTTCGCGCTTCTTAGCAACGCGTCAGGGACGGATTCGCGCGGAGACGTGGTAGCCGCACCGTTGATGCCCTGCGACAGGAAGCGTACAGTAGTATCCTTCCGCGCTTTCGCATTTCTCGCTGGTCTTCCCTTGAATGAGCCGCGCAGCGCGCGAGATCGCTCAGGAGTAAACGTGAGGAGGATAACCGGCTGGTTTGCGGCGGTGGCAATTTTCCCAGAGAATCCCGACAAATTGTTCAAAATCCACGCGCGCGCATCCTCTTGCAACCTGGCAAGTGATGATGAGCCGAATTTCAATTCGGATCGCTTCGCGCCTCGAATCTCTCGCGACGTTTGACGTATCTCGAATGTGGCGATCGAGCTTACAGCGCGGCACGAGTCGAGCATCCAAAGTCCAAAATCCAAAATTCCTACGTACCTCGCTGCCCTCGTGATCCATGCGCGGCGATCAGCGCCGGCGGAAGCACCGCGTCCGTACCGACCGCGCGTCAATTTGAAAGACGACTGATGCGCGCGAGAGGCGAGAGTGAAAAGTCGCGTGCAACATTTGCGGCGGTGGCGGCGGAGGCGGTGGAGGCGACGCAGACACACCGTGCACGTCCCTCGCACGTTCTCCAGTCTCCTGGCGAAGAGGCGCGTAATGTGGAAGCCCATCGTGTCTCTGTTCCTTCGTCTGGTCGCCTCGTTTCTCTCCCGCCGTGCGCTTTCTTTTCCGCACGGCGCGTGTCCGCACGGCCGATTCCTTTTCCCATCTCCCGCCGCGACTTCCTCCTTCGGCCTGACCTTTCGGCCGTGTCTTTCTTCGCTTCTCGCGTTTTCTAAGATTTCTGGATCCTCCTTCGTCACACGCGCGCGCACGTGCGCGAGAGATTTTATATTCTATTATTGCGCATGTTGTGAGTGGTAAATAGGTTAATGGGTACTTATCAGCTGTCGCGGTTTTGTACGTATGTAAAAATGGAGATAGCAATAAGAGGAATAAAAGCGATCGTATCGACACTTTATTAGAACACGAGAGGCGGACTCGCGGCTTTGAATTTGCAGAGAAATCTTTTCTTTTACTTAAAAATAAGTTACTTAAAAATAAGAGATTGTTGAGTTACACTATTATGGAACAAAAGTTATATAAACTTTGAAAATGGAAAATCCGTACGAATTGTTTCTTTTTTGCTTTTTTTTATTGAAATAAAGGTTGTACAAAAAGGTGTACAGGGTTTAGGTACAAAGCCTATCTAACCCTTACAAAATACGAATACTGTACAGTGCTTCTGTCACGCACGTCACCTTATACGTAAGAATAACCTAACCTTAACGTACGAATTGCTCGTTTCTCCGATGGATGGTGGCGGCTCGCAGCGGAGGTCATGCAACTAATAACAGCCGCCGGACTTGTTATATCTAACGAGTCGCAACTTATTCATTTTACAGACAACAAGAAGCCATATCTAGGAAGATAGTCGCAGAGACATTTCGATTTTCATTTTAGTCCTTCGCTCGTCAACGCTTTCACCGTCTCTCATTTTCTGCTTTACCTACGATGGATTCTCGATTAAAGCAACCTCTAAACTCTCGTATGCTTTGTTCGCACAGATACGACGTAGTCAACGAGCTGCCTGGCACCACCTAACAGCGCAGCGAAAGACCCATTTGCCCGACGAACTGGAATCTCCGCTGAGTAATCCGCAGTGACTCCGAGATCGAAAACGTAAACATTCCCAGAGTGCCGCGAGCGTTTCCCGCTAGATACCGCCAGGCACCCGCGCGGTCGGCTCGCTCGGCCGCGTGTCGCCGAGTCGAACGGCCACAGCCAATCGGCGCGCGGCGTTTCCGTCGGTGCTGCCGCGACGCCGGCGTTCACTCGGGCTGGCCGCAGTTTCACGACGAGATGTCAACGACGGTGGTTTCAGCGAGTCGAGCTCCGCGCGCCCCTCGTCCGTCGTCGACGACGCAAGCGGCCGCTCCTACGGCTACGCACGTCACCACAGCCGTGCACCACCATCGGCACACCGGCGATACGCCGACGAACCGTCGGTCCGCGGTAACTCGATAAAAGAGAGAGAGAGAGAGAGAGAGAGAGAGAGAGAGAGAGAGAGAGAGAGAGAGAAAGAGGGATAGCTGAACGGGAGCACGGCGCGCCCGCAAGCGCGACCTCGCCGTCTCGCAATCAAGGCCGGCCGCGGAGGCTGCGGAGGACGCGACGCGACGCGACGCGATGCGACGCGATCACGTGGCCGCTGTCGAAAGTGTTTACTTCAGCTAGTGGGATTCCGCGAGCTAACATCGAGATCGTCAGCCTCGCCGCGCGATGTCAACGCGTCCGTCTCGTGTGCCTCGGACGTGAGCTTTAAACGTGGGAATCCTTTCTCTTCCATGGAGTCCGGATGCTGCGTGCTCGCTACGTCGAGACAGGATGATGGTACTGTCGTCGAAGCGACGCTCGATGCGACAAGGGTGAGTAGACGTTTCCTACAGCATTCGACGTGTTATGCGGACCGCAGGTGTGTACGCGGCCCGTGCTGCGCTGTTGTGTTGTGTTTTGTACTTCTCTCCGTCTGTTGGGAGACGTTACGTCACATCGTTGCCGCGCGCGCGCTCGCTCGTGTGACAGCTGACTGCGAGAGATACCGTAACCTATAAAGAGAGAGGGAGAGAGAGAGGGAGGAAGAGGGAGACGGAGAGTTTCAAGTTAAATCACGCTAATCCGGAGTTATACAGCCCGGGTAATTTCGGGATTTGAACGAGTACCCGGTGAAATGTACGGGATACGTCGACGAGTGACGTCAATAAGATAAGAGAGACATATATGGTTGGGAGCGATGTTGATCATGATCCTTCGTTTCGCAGGTTATCTTTTATGTTATGTAATGCGTCATGAATTCATCTCGAGATATTTCGTCGCAGCAGAGCGAGATCGAATATCATGATCTGTCGTCGCCTCTCCTCTTCGATTATATCTTTCCCGTCATTATTATTCCGCGAGGATTTCGAAACGGCGAAATGGTCGCGTCGTTTCTCTTCTCTCGAACTGCCTCGCGATATCGCGTCGCCGCGTGCGGCAGAGGAATAAGCGCGTCGGAATGAGATTCACGATCCCTTCGTTTGACGAAGCGTGCCGCTTCGATGCACCGCGCACAGCTCGTGAAATTGCAGTGATAAGTTCCCGAGAGCGTCTGCGATGCGTCTGCGATGCGTCTGCTTATTAAGCCTCGGAGCGCCGCCGCGAGATTCCCAAGTTGCAGGTTTTCCTGCCACGCGTGTTCGCGATTACTTTCGCGCCGATACTTGAACTTTGCGCATATTCCGCAATCTCGCAACTTGTCCGGGAGTCATCTCGACACGATGCGCGACCGCGCGCGTTACAGCCGCGTTAATTCTGCGGCGTCGTCAGAATCGAATGGCGCTAATGAAAATCGCGGATGACGGACGAGCGATCTCACAGAGTCGAGTAAATCCCAACAGAATGGGAGAGGCGCAAATCATGACGTTTTAGTAGTCACGTCCCTCGATCGACCACTGCAGCAGCAGCAGCAGCAGCAGCAGCGGTATATATCCCGCGTCGCTACGAATCGACGTGGAGTAAGGTAGGAAAATTCGCGGAACGAAATCGCGCTCGTCGCGATGCATTGTGCAGAAACAATGGACGGCGCCGTACGTGCACGGTGACCTAAATGCGCGCTAGTGTGCTTTTAATTCACGGTGACGAAGCGTACGCATCGATAAAAACCGACAGATAGAGACGGGCGGGCGGCCAGGGAAACCGACGAAAAGTCGTTCCGCGCTTTTTCTGCGCGAGAAGCACTTCTCACCTTTCACGGCGGCGAGACAAGTGAATCTCTTATTCCTCCCGTGAGTGCTTCGTCGCGTTTATTCGAGATAGCCCGAGATATATATAAGGCGAAAGTTCGTTCTTTCGGAAACACTTTCCAAAGGAAAGTTCGCACGGACACATAAATAAAATAGCCGCGCGATAAATATGTATTTTTTCATATAGAATTCTCTCTCTCTCTCTCTCTCTCTCTCTCTCTCTCTCTCTCGCTCTCTCCTTCTCTCTCTTTTTTTCATGTTATCATCACGTCGATTATCGCATTAATTTTCGCTGGTCGTATTTAATGATTAATTTATAAAACATACGGTAAAAAAAAAAACAACTCTGGACGCATATATTATTTCATTGGTTTTCCATCAGTCATTCGACCAATCTTTTAGAGGCAATTGATTATTTGATCGCTAAGATTAATGTAAATTTCTCATGCAATTATTTATATATGCATATATACTCTTAATGAGACACGGTAATATCGATCATCGTGCGTTGTCATTGTTCATTTTATTTCACTTGGCTCCGCTTTATAGAGTCGACTGCTTTCAAAATGAGAATTTAATTAAACACGCTGTTTGCGCGCACAACGAATTTTGATCGCGAATTTTCCTCGTTCTTACCTGTCTCAATAATTCAAGTAATTCGGGGCAGAGTGGTGAACTGGTCGATATCGGAGGTAATCACGCGCGAGTATCAGCGATATTCGACGAGTACAATGGTGAACGAACCGTGAAAATGCTCGGCACGTGTGTATATTAAACGGATGCGAGCACCCGTGTTCTCTCTTTGCGTATTTGCATAAAACGAAAATGAGTTTCCTGTATACTAATGGACCGCTGTAAATCTCAGCGACGATTGCAACGTCGGGATTGCGCGTCGCGCGCGCAGCTACGCGGATTCGATGCATTGCGACAAATTTGATCCCTCCCGAACCGGACGGCGATACAAATTTCGCGGTAAATTGTACTATATTATGCCACGAATCATTAGTTATACCATAGTAATTAATGCCGGCGCGTTCAATTGTGAGTTTCGCGCAACGGCTAGCTAAACAGCGAATTCTGATAAATTTGGCGAAAATATTATCGTGTGAGTAAAATGTTTCATATATATATATATATATATATATATATATGTACATGTATGTATGTGTATTATATATTTTTTAAATCTTTCTCTCTCTCTCTCTCTCCCTCTCATTAATTTTAAATTTTGGAGGGCACAGCGTAATAATAATCAGGAAGTCAGAGCCGCTTAATTAAAAACACAACGCTTTTGACGCATTTTTCATATTTTTTGTTCATGACGCGAAATTAATTTAGCAGTCATCAGCGAAACATCCCGGTGAGTTTCACGGATTAGAACGCGAGAATGAACAATCGAAAAATCGCTCGTCTGAGAGAGCATGGAATATCTTTCGAATTTTAAATCTCCCGTCGACGTCGCGGCTCACGCTATTGTTCGCACGTCGGTACAACTCTCTTCGGGCGAGATCTGAATTTACGTTGCCGCTTGTTTCTACGACCTCTGGTCTCTTGCACTCTGAAATAATAAAATAACGCTAATGGACTTTCGCGCAATTATTCGCGCTCCATTAAGCCCGTCGTACACGCTTATTGCGAGAGAAAGAGAGAGAGAGAGAGAGAGAGAGATATGCTTTTTTTCTATTTCCTCCCTCAACGCCGGGAATCGTTTCACAAACAAATCGCGACGCGCGCGCGCGCGTGAGCAATTAAGTAATCGCTTGATTATTCATGCGACCCGTCGCGCTTCGCAGTGACAGCGAGACGCGATCGCTCTCGCGACAAGCGACCGTGACAAGTCACGGGGTTACGGCCGCGCGCTCACAGTGTAGCGAAATCACCCATAAGATCGTCGAAACGACGCCGTTATCGGCCACGTGGCCGTGATTAATCGTTCGACTCGCGATTCGATCATGGAGGCTATCCACCTCGGGATCGCGCCGAAGCACTGTCGCGCGTCTCCCGCCGCCCTCTATTGATCCCGTTTCGATTATTCCGAAATATAATACAATTACGGTCGGCGGCCGACGCGAACCGGATCGCCATACGACCGCGAAACGCGCGATATTCGAGCGTTGCGCGTATAATACATTGCGCGGGGTCGCCACGACTGCATCTGCGGTGGCGGTCGTATCAGTGCCGAGAGGGTGAGGAAGAGGGGGAGAAAAAGAGAGCGAGAGACCGGCTCGGATAACCGCGCTTCTCGGTTGCAATTGCAATTTTTTCCAAATTATTTCCATATAATATGACCGGATATGATCGCGATATTGAGTTTTACCGCGCGGCTTATGTTACGCGAGTATACACGCTGGAGTCTCGAATTTTCCGCATTTTCCGACGCGGTATAATTCGCCGAGTGTTTTGCAGCGATACCAAAATGTCGGAATTATTCTCCGTTATAATACAGTGCGACGACGACGGCGTCGACGACGGCAACGACGCCTAATTGCTTATCTCGTGCCGCTCGTTTACTTCCGCTAATGATACGTTCGTCGCGGAGATTAATCGTCTTCAAACAGCTTTCTCGCGCTTAAGGTTCCCTGGCGAGTTATCGCGACAGTGAATCGATTTTTTTTTCTTGCTCTCTTTTTGTTTGCTCCCTCTAAACACTGCGATGACCTCTCTCTCTCTCTCTCTCTCTCTCTCTCTCTCTCTCTATTTTTATCAAATTGATACTCTCGCGCGCGGGAAAATTGCCCGGCCCGACTGAAAATGTTATCATGCGCTATGGAGTGGGCGCGACTCACCGTTCGGAATATTTTATGATCCAACACGCAGGCCGCTGTCGTGGGAATTCGTGTTTTCTACTAATTAATTGCTCGACCTTTACAAGAGCGTCGCGAGTTATCAGCAACGTGCTACTTTATCCACGACGGCGTCCCGCTCCCTCCTCCTCTTCTTCCTCCTTCTCCTCGGTCCCTGTTGTGTATCGGATACTCGATAAACTTTACAATATGAGGCGATACCACTTAAGCACTTTCGTATCTATCATCGTATCTTATATTATATACACGTCCTACATGAAAATGGTAAATTTATTTCATGTGTCATTCATAAATAGGCCCGTGAAAAATATGTATTGGTATTATCTCACATTGACATTTAAGTATATCGTAAAAGGATATATTCGGACGAAATATACGTTGTATATGTTGCAGAAGAAATGTCCTTATTTTTGAAATAATATACGGCTCTGGAAATTTCCAGAGCACCGTACTGTCGAATATCAAAATTTGGATTCTGCACATCAAGCCTGCGGTTTCTGTCAGAATTATCTAACAATTAACCTTTTCTTTTGTGTTTGTCGGTTAGTTCGTTGAATTTTTAACATTCAATTTAGACAAGAGCTTTAAATCCTATCAAGACTTCCGGAGGAAACAGATGGGGAAAAGTAGTGAGAATAAAAATGTTCCTTCTTTTATCCATTAATCCTTAGATTGCTTAATATTTGCTTATCTCGTGTATACTCTGCGTCTGAGGGAGTTATGCAATTAATGCATCTCTGAGTAATTCGTATGAATAAATGTTTGTTCACGTCTCAACATGCTGAACACGCAGCATGTATTCATCCGCGGCAACAGGCTAGAGAAATGCCCGGTACAGTGTTA